ACACGCTTATCTAGAGATCTGCACTCACTTCTACACTCACCGTTACAGGATCCATGCTATCAGAAATTTTTAAGATCATGATGGTAACATGTTGAACATTAGGGCGCACCCTTTTTATTTCAGTCCTCGCCAAAAAAAATATTTTGTTTCCCAAATGAACAAGACTCGAGGTGTATAACCTATACAGATCAAATGCTATATTTGGAGAGTCTGTATCCACAATTTTCATTGGAGCACCAAGAGATTTAATGGTACAATCATCATCATCTCCAGTGGAAAATGTAACGTGGTATGCAATCAATAAACACTTCTCCACCAAAGTGTATACAAAATCATCAACAAATTCAAACTTTCCAAGGAAGGCATCATATCTCACATCATTGTCTTCCTTTTCAACAACCTGCCACTTCTCCATTAAAGTCTCAATTTTGTAACAATGGATTCAGTTGAGCTATTATAAGTTGCATCTATAGAAATGAGAATAATGTCATTGATGACGGCGTAACCTACGACAGCCATGCTTGTCTTCTCCGGTACACGGTACTCAGTTACGATAGAATCCCACTTCCGATGAAAAGGATCAAAGCGTTCAAATGACGGAGATTTTATGCGGAAGCCAGAACATAGGGTATCTGTAGAAAGCGCATAAAAACTTCTACCCACTGCCATCACTTTGGGAAAGGTTTTTTTGCTTCTGGTTTTGGCAACTTATCGAGGTGTTTAGTAATTATATCAAAAATGAGGGGTTCAAACGAGATCATTTTGCCGGATAGCTCACATGAAGCCGCCAAGCATATTTGCGATCGTACCATATCACAATCAACAGTGAATAACAGTCCTCTTCAGAGCAACTAAACGCTTTCACCAGAGGACCATTAATTTTAATTTCCCCTCTACCACCAAATTTGATTTCATAAATTGTAGCACAGTATAGGGAATCATGAAAACTCACAACCATAAATAAACTTATTGCCGCATCCTCCTCCATCTTTAGTTGCCTCCTCCACTAATGCTAGTTTATTCTTAATCGGAGATTAGGCTCCTCCTCCTTTCTTCTCAATCGGAAATTAGGGTTTTGGTGCCTTCACTTCTCCCTTGATTAAAATTAAAAAAAGAAAAAAAAGGGGGTAGCGAATGGGTATCCGTGTTGTGTCATGTCTGATATCCTGCCAGAACCAAACATCCAAACCGGATCGGACCGGACCTCTAACCTCCCTTTGGTACTCACGCACATATGTCTCTTTCGACACTTAAACCTCTAACCTCCTTTTGGGAGGTAAGAGATTGATACCGCTAGGCCACTGGCCCGTTGGTTATATATATGTTAAATTATAGAGTATATATAATATAATATAATCCTACAATCCAAATCACTTAGAAGTTTATAACAACTATCAATCATATGGTCTATTACCAACAGGCTAGTGGCCTAGCGGTACCAAGCCCTTACCTCTCAAAGAGAGGTCAGGGGTTCGAGCCTCAGTGGAGGCATGTGTGTGTGAGTTCCAATTAGGAAAAAAATAAAAAATAAAAAGTAAAAAAATATCATATGGTCTACTCTTAATTATCTTAGGTCTTATCAATCTATTACATAATGTTTTTTTTAGTTGCTGAATTGAATTGTGGCTGATTGTTTGTTGTTGAATTAGTAATTCTAAATGTATTAAGTTATTACCAATTTTGAATTTATTTACTTCAGTTTCAGAAGTGATAGAGAAAAATGAATTCAAAGTTTTGAATATATTAATAGTTCTCAATGTGCTGGTAACTTGGTTTATTGTTGTGCATGTGGATAATATGAATACTTTAGTAACAATAAAAAATAAAAAAAAAAAGGAACCGTGTAACCGAACCGGTTATTCATGATTTGTTTGATTTGGTTCCTTTGGTCAAATGGTTTGGTTTAATTCAAAATCTTAAGAATCCGTTAGAATTAGTTTGGTTCCAAAAAAACTCTTAAATCGGTCCAAACCAAATCGTATGCACCCCTGATCCCTACTACAAATACACCACCGACCTTCCTTTCTTATTGGCTTCTTATCATAACCAACTTCCAAGCTAACTACCATTATCTCTCAATTTTCGGTGTGCGTCTCTTATATATATACACACACGCATGTATATATATAGACTCATTCATGCAATGATTCCTACATTATAAATCTCATCAAACCCTTTTTCTATTGAAGAAATCAGACATTTCTCTTTGTTTATATAGGTTTTGATATTACGATGTAATTGGATCACTTTGATGGATTCAGTATTCCAAAGTAATCAAGTGGATTTTTCAGATATTTCTCTTTGTTTAAACCTTAATTATTGGATTTGTTCACGGATCATCCAAAGGGAAAAATGAAGATGATTTTTTTGAGAGCTGCTATTCGCGCTCCACTAATATCCTCTTGCGTTCCAAATCTTTAAAGTAATAAATCTAGGGTAAAATATAATGACACCCCTTGAGGTTTGGGCTACACACAAATACAAGTTGGCATATTTTTGGACAATGACACTCCCTAATATTTGATAAAGTTGACAATGACACCCTGACAATGATGAATTGATGTTACTATCTTTTGACACATTAAATTATCAATTTAAACAATACAACCATTTTCGATTGACTAAAATACACTTAGATCAAATAGGTGTAAATGGGTTACCTGGTACAACCCATCTGAAAAACCTATTCCTTTTCTTCTATTTTTCATCTCAAACCCTAATCCAAACAAAGCCGCCACTACCTATCCCTCGAACCCACCATTGTCTCCATCCCCAAAATCACACGCCGCTGTGTATTCATTACTGTCGCCGTTACAACGATGAGGAAGCCGCTGCGCACCACGATGATGAGGGAGTCGCAACAAAGGCCCGAAAAAATAGAGGCAGATCAAATCCACACGCACATATCGACCGCAATAGAGACCCGCAGTAGTTTTAATAAGCAGGGAATGGACGTCGATGAAGGGGCGAGCATAACAGTGAAACGACGGCAACAGAGACCTCTAAAGAATCCACCTGCAACGATCATTGATTTATTCTAAATTTACCAAAATACATTTAACAGTGCAATGCTATTTGTTTAATTTCATTATTGTCATTCTTTCTTGCCTTGCTAGAAAAAAATTCACCTATCATTTGAGGGAGGAGATTAGACCATTTTATAAGTATTTTGCATAATTATTGGAACGAACATACAAGAAGATGTTGCACATCCTCCTCCACCACAACAATGAAATACTTGAAGCCACGTTTGTGAGTGTGGCAAACGTGACTCATATATATATATTAAAAAAAAAAGGTTTGTCTTAAGTGGCAGGCTCTCCTTCTATTGTTAAAATGGATCAATAATAACAAAACATATATAAAAAATATTAAAATTTTAAACTTGAAGAGAATTTTTTTTGGAGCTGTTACTGGGGTTCCACTAATATCCTCTGCGCTCTAAATCTTTAAAGTAATAATTCTAATGTCCAAAGTGCCTTTTTGAAAGTTCTTCCTCTGTCCTTTTTCTGTTTCGTGATTTATTGCTCTTTTGATTAAACTCTCTCTCGATCTGTCTCTCCTCTTGTCATACCCAACTTCATCAATTGTCAGTAGAAAAAAAAAAAATACCCAACTTCATCGTATTATTTGAAAGTCTAGAATCAAATTATAATAAAATAAATAATTACATGCAATATGTAAGAATCAAAACAAATTATATTAATGACCTACAACAAATTTTCATCTTTAACAATGCCATTTTTCTTGATCAAGTAATGACTGCCATGCCGAAACTCATTAATATTTTGTTTGTATAAAGTAGCTAATGGAACATATATACAAGATTTAAGGACAGATCTAGAAATTCATATAGCGTAAATTTATATAGAAATTTTTTCATAATTTCAGTTAAGATAATTTTAAAATTTTATTAATGTAAATATAAAAAAATATAAATTTAAAAGTGTAAAATATAATAACAAAAAGGCGGGATTGCAATGGATGGAATTGAAGTTTGATGAGGATGATATCATGAATAAAGAATTTTATGTGTTTGCACCCTCTCTCTCTCTACGCTAAATATATTGTTCTTTTTGTTCTAAAGAATACGTGTAAGCATACAATGGAATTACATAAAGTCAAATCTCAAATTTTATATGATTCATGGAATTGTCATTGTAGATTGCCCGATGCTCTATTTTTTATAATTCTGATATGTCTTTTGTATAAATATTAAAAGGTTATTTTGTTTTTTTCCCCTAAAACCTCATTGCCACCCTAATTTAAAATTTTTTAATTAGTTTCTTGTTATTTCAATCCATTTTAATTTTTTAAATAGTATCTAACGATCATCTCATTAGATTTGAACTTCTTTTGTCATGTTATTTTACATCTACATTCACATTAGTAAGAGTAATGGTTACCCAATAAAAAAAAAATGAATCTCTCTCTCTCAATAAGTAAAGGTTAAAACTAGTCTCCCATTATTAAGGTTAAAAATAATCTCCCATCAACAGTTGTAGCCTTATTAAGGTTAAAACTAGCCTCCCATTATTAAGGTTAAAAATAATCTCTCATCAATAGTTGTCACATTAATATGGTTAAAAATGGTCTCCCATCAACAGTTGTCACATCTCCACTAATATTATTAAAAATAATGCTATTAGGAGAGAGTGTTAGGATGATATTACTCCATTTTCCTTAAACAAAGGATACAACATAAGAATGTAAATTACCCTTGCAAGAAAAGAGGGGCTTTATAATTTAGCTTCATAGTAATGAGAAATTACCAAATGTTTAAGAGTACTGAATCAATATCTTCGATTTTGAATTAAAAGAAGTGTTTCAAAAGAAGTTTAGTTTAAGATTATACTAAATTTTCTTGGATTCCAAATTCAATCCAATGTGCCAATTCGATAACCCAACATTACACAATAACATAGAAGGAGGAAAGTGCAAGAAAATAATTAACCAACTCCATTGGGATCAAAAGATGAAGCAAATTCAGAAACAAAACATGAGAAACAAATGACACAGATCCATTAATGATTAATATATCAGGAAATTGAATTGCGAATTCAGATACAAATGACACAAGGGTTCAGAAGCCAACACCAAGTGAACTTGAATTCTTATCTTCATACCCAAATGAGACGCAATTTCCAAACCCACATCTCATATAACACACGCACAACATTCATCACCATATCTGAACAGAAAACCCTAGTTACTTTTTCTTACTTCTGTTATCCCCACTACTATTCCCTCCGGATGCTGCCTGAGCTGATTTCCGAGCTGCCTTCTCTTGAAGGGCTCTGGCATCCCTGCACATTAAATTAAGAAAAAATATTACTCTTATCATAAATTTATTTATTTATTTTGCAAGATACACAGCACGAAAAAATATATATATATTAATAAAATAAATTAATGACACTGTTTAACTTAAATTATTATAATAAAATTTTATCTACCCTATTTATTGGGTCATGGATCTACTAATTTTTAGATGAATTTAAAATGATTCATCATTGTACACAAACTTCAGTGATGACTAGTATTCCGTACACTTGTGAAAGAGTACCTGAAATCAGATGAAACTTGACGGTACTGATATTATTTGCTTGCACAAAATTTAAGTTGAAATATATATATATATATACATATTAAATGATGTCTGAGAATACTTCTAAAATTACACACCCAAATTAGAAACAGAGCAATTAGAAACGCTAAAACTAAATCAGAAAGAGAGCAATTGATTTAGAGAGAGAGAGAGAGACAAACCTCTCTCTTCTTTGTTCAGGGGTTAATCCATCCTCTTTTGGGTTCTTGGATTTGGTACCAGCCCTGGCTTGAGCCCTTTCGCGATCTCGCTCTCTTTGGTTACCCCGTTTCGCTTATGTTAAGCTCCAAAACAAACAAACCAAAATCATACACTATCTTACAAAGTGCAAACACAAATGCTAATTATCAATCAATTTTTTGCATTTAAGCAATTTGGTTGCCAATAAAACGTAGGAAAACAACCAAATCAGAGCCTCTAATTTTCCATTATTTGGGATCGGTGAAGACATACAATAGTTCCCAAATTACAGATCCAGTACAATTATTTAGATAATTGCAAGGTATTTTTTATTTTTTTTTCACCAATATAACAAACTCAAATTGAGCATAAAAGGTTGATCTGAAATCAGAGGAAAGAAGCATATCATAAGGATATGAGTCATTCTCGATTGTCGAACAGCCAAACAAAACTCAACAATAATAACTACAACACCCTGAAAAAGAAAGTTCCAAAACCAAAGAATAATCAATATAACATCAAAAATAGCAATCTAAACAAGCAAATTGGAAAGATAAAAGAGTTCCACATAAGGAAAGAAAGAGATGGTCACCTGATCAAGGCTAGAGAGAGGAGTTTTAGAGAGAGACAGAGGAGTTTTAGTTAGAGAGAGGGAGAGGTTTGGTTGACGATGATTGCACAGTTGTGCTACATGAGCAAACAGGGGGAGTTTTATCTGAGCCAGTCGATATCTAGAAGGATCGAGAAGCCGCGGAGAATTTCTTAAATAATTTTAAAAATTAATACTGACGGAGTAGTTTATTTTACGATGGTCTGTTTGGCTTGATATTAGCCGTCAGATCAAGAAGCTTCTTTGATTACCTTCTTTCTAGTAATCATGCGGTTTAGAGTGCTCGTTTAGTTGACTTGATAGATTAAAATCAAGGACCAATCACAATCTCCGAATTTGGAGAATTCCAGGTGAGTCCAGTTCTCCTACATCTAGTTGTTGCCAGTTATATCGTGACACGCGGCAAGAGATTACTGGCAGCGTACCATTCGTTGTGATTGTTCATGGGCCCAAGTTGGGTACATGGGTTCGGCCCTTCTCAGGGCCACAAATTAAGTGGGCCGAGTCCCAGGCCTATAATTGAGTGACGGATTTTTGGGCTTCCTAAACAGTACACTAGTTTTCAACCAACATGGACCACTATGAGAGATTGATTGGAAGTTCTTTACCATATTGAGTGGTACATCAATTAACCCAATAGGTGTGATATACGTGTTTGTTAACACTTTTATGCACTATATACCATCTTTTCCGAACATGACATTTATGTTCATAATATAATTAGTGCTTTGAATTGAAAAAGAGACCAATTCCATGCTGTCAAGCATAACTTGAGCGGATGATGGCAATCCTATCATGATGGCAATGTATGTATGTGTTGTGTGATTTAATCAATGTTTGTATATGTATGTGTTGTGTGTGTATATGTATATATTAAGATAACTATAAGCTTCCCTCAATAATTTGCCTTCTATACCTGACCCCACCAAAGAAATTAGGAATCATTAGTTTATGAATGAGACAAATGTGTAGACCAAATACCACCTCCATTTTTTTTTTATCAATCATATGTGTACCCCACAGTATGACAATATATTGTTTATTTTCTTCTTATTTTTGCAAACAAAAGAGATTCATCAAACTAAATTTAAAAAAACCAAAAAAGAAACTAACAAAAGAGTTTCATCAAACCGCAAAAAATTGGTGGTTCACTAGCTCAACCACTAACATCTACATGCCAGACACATCATCAAGTAACTGCAATAGAGGTTGGCCCAATTAAATCCTGGACATACTTTAATTGGTCAACGAGTCTGCCCAATCCGGTTCAACAATATGTCTTGTCCTAAGTTAAGGGGTGGCGGGCCTATCAGGCCTGGGCAATTTTTTAAACTTTTTGTAATCTTTTTGGTTTATCTAATCTATATATTAGCATATTTAATATTATCTACCTAAATCTGAGACTAGCTTGTACAGTTATAAATTAGTTATTAACTTAAATTTTTTACTTATATGCTATTATATGTCCTAACTTATAATTATAATATCCAATATTAGCAGCAATATTATTTAATATTTTTTACATACCTCTTCGTTAGGATTTATTTATGCTAGTATATTTTAAGGACATCATGACCCAGTTCCAATCATGTTACAGGAGGTCATAGAGAAAGAAAACTCGAGACTCTTTTTACCGTTTAATGATCATTTCTGGTTAGGTTAAAAAATAATAATAATAATAATAAATAATATTTTATAAATCATAACTCTGAAACTTGAATTTACCTCAATATCATTGATACTCGAAAGCTGTTATACTGACAAATACACTAATATATGATTGAACTTCAAAAATTAGTTGTTATTTTTTATTTTTTTCCTTCTGGCTACAATGATATGATTATTCTATTATGGCATGTAGTTTGGAGGTTGTGGGTTTGAAATGAAAAATAAGATTATTACATCCAAAGAGTTTGTCATGCCACTAATATCATAATTAATTATATAGTAATTAAAAATACATTTATTTTAATGCTTATGAAATTCCATGAATTGGAGTAGTATTTAATCAATGGGGTCAAATTGTAGGAGTAATAAAGTAATTTTAAAAAACAAAGGAGGAGCGGTGGACAACGATTCCATAAGTATCGCTACTCTGTCCAAAGGTCCCCTCACCTCCGTCTATCCACCCTCTAACATCCCACAAACAAACACACAACTCACACACACGGCGAGGGGAGAGAGAAAATATATAGCGAGAGAGAAATTCAATTAGTATGAATTAGGAAGAATAGGGGAGAGAGAAATTTGTAGACACAGACAAAAATTGCTAAAGTCTATTCGTATACCACGCGAAGGCTTTTTGTTTTAATCTTCTCTCCCTTCTTTTCCTTCCTTTTTGACTCACTTTCTCTCCGGCATTGTTTTTAGAATTTTCTCAGTATATACGCTTCTTATCCCTAATTGCGAAAAACACTTTTTTACAGACACAACAAAATCAAAAGCGAGAAGTATCAGATCTAGTCCTCTCTCTCTCTCTCTCTCTCTCTGATCGATTGATCAACGTAACTGACCTGACACGGAAGGTATCCAATGCTCTTTATTGTACAGACCTCTCCAACATTTAACAAAATTTTCATGTCCTTAAACTTATCAGATCTCAAGCTTTTCAATATTCTTTTTTCACACTAAATTCTGTTTCTTCAATTTGTTAGTGAATTTTCTGAGAAATTATAGATTTTCTCTAGCAAAAATTCACATATTTTTCTCTAGACAATCCGTAGACGAACTTTCCGATCCTTGAATTCTATAGAAACTCTGAATTCACAATTTTTTTATTTCCGCTTTCGGATTCCAAGATTGTTAAAAGCTTTGCAATCTAGATTTCGTTTATAAAATTTGTGATCGATTTGAATGGAAAGTGGTGGTGGTCGAAGAAGGAGATCGCACTCGGGCGAAGGAATCGACTCATTGAACCTTCGAGACTTCCTTCGAGTGAGAGACGAAGAGGAAAGCCGTAATTCGCTGGCCGGACTGACTCTAAGCGCAATCCTGGAGAGCGAGAAGAGAGCGGCGCCGGTTAACCGGACGCTCCTCGACATCATCCGAGACGACCCCAACGGCGGTTTCAAGAACAACAAGAAGAGCTGGAAAGTCTTCAGGAACAAGCTCCGACTCCGCCGCGCCGGCGCCGCCTGGATCTCCACCCTTCCGGTTCCGCGCTCCGACGTTCCGGTTCAGAACAACAACAGAGTGATAATATCTCGACGAAACTCAACTAGTTCTGTGAACACGCAAAATCAAATTCAACCCCAAATGTCAACATCACCGGCAATTAACAACGGATTGGTGGAAACAAATTCAGTTCCGAATACAGCAATGTTGAACGCAGGCACTCAAAGGGGCGGTGAGTCACCGATAGAGGCGGTGGCGGTGGAGGCGGGTGGGGACTCACCGGTGAGGATGTCATTGATGGCATTGTTGGCGGAGACCGATAGAGAAATGGGGTTGGATGGTTCGGCATATATGGTGGATGATGATGAGATATTGGAAATGGAGGCGGAGGAGGAGGAGGAGAAGGAAGAAGAAGACCACGGCGGAGGCGGTGGTGAAGGTGGAGGGTATAATAACTGCTGTGTGTGCATGGTGAGACACAAAGGGGCGGCGTTTATACCTTGCGGACATACATTTTGCAGGCTGTGTTCGAGGGAAGTTTGGGTTCAGAGAGGTAATTGCCCTCTCTGCAATGGTTTCATTTTGGAAATTCTTGATATCTTCTGAACTAAATTAATCATCATCATCGTTGTCGGTCGGCAACAACCCTGCACAGCACTGAAGTCTAAACTGTTCGGTTATGATATTTTCTAGTAATATTTTTTCTTATCTTAAGTTTTTGTAATTTTGTGTTTTTTATAGCTAGCATCTGGGTTGGTGAACAATAAGAAGTTTGATTTTGGATTTTCAACATGATCACAAATCAGATATTATAGTAATTTGTTATGGCAGTTGGTCGCCATTTTGTATATGCATGTTTGTAGCATTTTTAATGTATGCATTACAATTTTAGATAATACTAATATATAAAATAAATAAATAAATAAAAAGAATTATGAAATAATATGGCGGACTGGATGAAAATATATACTCCGTACCATATAGAATCAGATGTTCTATTCTTACAACACTGAACCAACTGAACCAATGGATGATTAATTTTAATGATGGTCATGGTTGGATGGATTGATGAATTCTTTGATCCACTCAGTTGTTGATAAACTGAAACTTGTTCATTGCAAATTTATTGAATGCTTAGGATGCCAATGTGTCAAATCTTTAAACAGGACACGTAAATATTCAATTTTTTAAAATAAAAAATAATTTGTGTATGCTACAGTGTCGTGTATAGGTTTTAAGCAATGACACAACAAATTGAACTATTTTGATATGTTTTGATGCCTATTTGGTATCCATATTCAAGTATTGTGTGTTTGCCATGAGCATGGTTTATCATATGTATGGCCTGATTTGTAACTCTTTGTCAAAGGTTTCATATCGTTGCACATTTTTTTGAATTGTTCAATTTGATCGATTTACACCAATATTCGTATGAATCCATTATATTGCGACCGATACCGCGGTTGAACCATAGCCTTGAGTAAATTTGCAGTCAAATACATCAAACAAATACTGTAATTTTCCCATAATTTTGCTGAGATTTAAACAAGCTCATGAAGCCTGACTGAAATGGAACACATAAATTTACCGGCCGGTGGTATCTCAAGAGCAAAAAGAAGGTACGTGAATTAGCACTACTCATTAGAGAAATGCAGTTGCCCACCTAATTGCAAGCTTTTGCTGTTAGCTAATAATAGGGTCAACTGTGTTTTTCATCATGCATGGCCGCAGTGGCTTGTTTCTGCTGTTTCAATGATTGTAATCTTATCTCTAGTTGCTAATAAAATTTTCACTCTGTCCCGAAAATTAAAATAAAATAAAAAATCACTTGTTAAATTTGTTACACTTACCTTTCTTTGTTTTCAACATCCGGCAGGTTATGTGAAATTACCTTTATGCACTTATTATTATCTAAACAAGACTAACTAAAAAAGAGCTAAGGGTATTTTTGTCATATAATTCTTTAAATTTGACCACGTTGGGCCCCACAGGAATGATTGTGACTATCTTTATGAACGGTGCGAGATACTGAATGAGTTACAGGGTGTTATAATCCCACTTCGTCAAGGAAGACAAAGTGTTGTATGTAAAGTTTAACATCTTTCTATAACATAATGCATTTTAAAGTCGTGAACCTATCGAAATTCTAAAATTAAACGTGTTTTTTATAAAGTAGTATCAATAGGTAAAAATAGACAATATTGTGTCTGAATAGGAAATAGGGTGAAGAAGCCTGCGTAACATATCCAAACTAGGTGTAATTTTTTATATAATTTTTTTTTTAAAAAAAAATGATAAAAAGTCTCAATCGGATTGTTAGGCACACTAACAAATGGTGTGAGATTTATCCAATTGGCACATTCTAACTGAGAAGTCCACATCCACACCAGCTATAGAGACATGGTGACCATTAGTGGTCTATTCTGGTTTGGGGAAAACATGTTGATAAATGAAACTGACTCTTCTTTGTGTGTGGACGATGGAGGAGCCAAACCTCCAAATCACAATCTATTTATTACAGCCGTAAATTACCCAGGATGATGTTAACGGCTCTCTATACTCTATAACAAAGTGACATTTAAGCAAATGAAGAACCACAAGATTGATCAACTTCATTATTTAATTCATGTTTCAACCAAACTTCATTACTTGTACAGACCATAAATAACTCCATCCAACCTAAGATTTACACAATATTCTCTTCTTTTATTACAAAATCATTTCTCGCCTGCACTTTTGGTGTTAAAAATTAATTTTGGTCTGTCCTTTGACATCCTTGCAATTAACATGAAATGAATTGGTCCAGCAACACCCTGTCACAGGGGAAAATATAATACAATGCCGCTTTTGTCTATATGTTTTTTTGGTAGGTAAATCACATCACGCAATGCACCTATTTGTGTCGTTGGAGATTCAAACTTTTTATCTGATGAAGGATCACTTACAACAAGCACACCAAATAAAAAACTAGTCATAAATCTGATTTCAACCGAGTTTTACACTTGTAAATTCGAACTTTTACTAATGTTTTTTCCCAATGTTACAGGGAGAATTTATTCCACATCGAATGCGAATGGAAAAATGAATGAGTATTATTGGGTGGATATGAATTTATTCCACGTCGAATTCGAATGGAAAAATGAATGAGTATTATTGGGTGGATATGCAGTATTATCCAAGGATAAATGGGCAAGCACTTACCCGTTACAATTGGTATTAAAGTCAGACTCAATCCTTAATTCGGTGTCACGCTAAGCGTCGGGTCTTCGACAGGATGATCAGTTCAGAGTTTGTCTCATGATCCGGTGTCACACTAAGCGTTCGGGTCTTGTCTCATGATCCAGTGTCACGCTAAGCGTCCGAATCTTGACCTCGGATAGACAGGGTGATCAATTCAAAACTTGTCTCATGATTCAATGTCACGCCAAACGCTCGGATGTTCACCCGACCCAAAACCAGTCATTGCAGGATCCTCTGCAACAAATGTGTAGGTTGATGAAATTTAAAGTTGTAGTGAAGTTGTTTGGTAAATTCAATTAAACTTGGTGGGGCAGATTTCAACCATGAGAGACACTCGGGCTGAGATTACCTTTTAAACCCAACAATTCAACCAAATCATATTAAAGACACACAGTACTGGGTTTTTACACTGAGTTCAGACACCATAAAGGACAGCAATATCAGTTCATGGGACCCTTAGCTCATGCACATCGTCATCACGTTCCTTTCACAATTAGCCCTAGTATTTTGCATTTTCTATTTTATTATTCTGTAAACTTTCAACATATATATATATATATATATATTTATATATATATTCAACTCTAAACTTTCTACATTCTCATCCACAGATTTTGGTAAATCATTTGAGAAAACTATTCAAAGTAAATAAATACATCATATATTTGTTTATCCTCCAATCTTTTTTCACTATTAGAATCTGATATAAAAATAAGTGTTAGTACTATATTGGTTACATGATATTTATTTATTAAAATTAAAATTAGAGAAAAATTAGTTCAAATATTAAATTATTTTTTCTTCAATTTGGATTCCTCCGAGACATTAATTTAATGCAAACAAACTTAGCATAATTGAAGTGAAGGGCCGAAATTATCACGACCTCTTGATTTAGTGGAACCTAAATTACATAATTATTATAAATAGCATAATTGCATGTTTTTGTTCTCACACTCTGCGCATATTTTTTCTTTTATTTTTAACTTAAATTTTGTTATTTTTCAGACTCCAACTCAATGCCATTTAAGAATAAAACTCACTTGTGATGCGACTCTTTCCACGCAACTTAAGAGTGAAACCCACTAGTGATTCCCTCTGCATCGAAGGACCGTGACATAGGTCCTCAATTTCAATTAATTGCTTTTGTGAACAAGTATTTCTTAAACATAATAAATGAACAACAATTATATTTTGCAGTTGTTCAAAAACTTATTGACAACTCAGGACTTAAGTTGGGGTCATTTAAAGGACCATTAAAACAAGACCAGACAAAGCTGCATTTTTTTCTGACAGTGAACTTACTCAAGTATTGCTCATTAACCCCAAAATAAAAGCCAAAAAAGGAGGCAAATGGGCATGTGTGTTACTTATAATATAATGTGAAAGTACTAATAATGCTTTCCACTACAAAGACCAATTATTGTGTGTCATTAACACCAACAATAGAGCATGGCTCATTCATGTTCGCATGATTATTAAATCAAGCCAACATCATTTATTAAACTAGTCCATTAAATAAAGTTAATTTTTTTGAATCCCAAAGAAGGGAGATTGACTCTTAAGGACTTGTGAGCATTGAACAATCATAATCACCATTCTCACATTTATTCTATATTAATAGGATGGTATAACATGTGTACATACATATTTGCTCAAAAACTTATATTATCTTACGCTCAAACTCACAGATGCCTTACAGATGCCTTACCTATTTGAATGACACACCCAGATGCCTTTTAGATTGGGCGCTTGGTGTGGTACCAAATTAAGATTGATACCAATTATAACAGGTGCATACTTTTTTATACCCATTTCACTTCACATTCGGATTTGATGTGAGACAAGTTTTTCTTTGTAACAGATGGCCATATAAAAATGGAAAATGATTTTAAACTAATTTTCCAAACCGATTTGACCATTATACTGTGATCCCGTAAATAAGATCTACACTACATTCACTTGGGAATTACAATTTTGGAATTGAAATTGGTAAAATCTGAAGAATAATTTAATTCAATTTTTTGAATTGTTTTTCTCTAATTCCACCAATTTTAATTCTATGCTGTAAAATACATCCTAAATAGATTTAAATAACAATTTTTATTTATTATTATTTTTTTTAAATCCCGGCAAACACACTAAAAGAAGCAGCACAAAATCAACAAAAACAATCCTTAGTTGCTAAAAAACCTGATATGAGGAGGGATGTGGACAAGAGCAACATCCTGCAAAAGATGATTTAAATAGCATTATACAAGTCAGCTTTAACAAATTCGGAGTACATTAATTTATCTTGTTTTATCATTCTACAAGTAAGATCAGACCATTGCACCTTTATTTACCATCTCAATCATGTTCAATTTCGTTTTCCCAGTCTCCAGCATTGACTTTAGTGTTTTTTCATCAAAATCTTCCAAAATCCTAATGGTCCAGTTATTGATCTTTGTTGATTTCATCAAAATTTCTCCAATCCTAATGGTTTAAGTCATTAACATTTGTTGCCCATGTCCAAGACATCATAGTCGATCTTTTCTTATTTTATCTCCAATAAACAATACTTTAAACCATCTCACTAATATAATTATATTTATAATCTTTTTTTTTTTTTTTTTCATTTACATCACATATCCATCTCAATATTTGCCTTTCAGCTACAGTTTAACATATAATAACCATTTTATAAAATTTATATTATTTAAATTTCAGCAATATACAAAGAAAACAAGCAGCTAAACAAAGAAAAAAAGAAAAAAGTTCATGATAATTCAAAAGGCGCTATCAACTAAAAAACACTCTTGATTCTGCTTGGGAATTTAAAGTCACAGGCAAATTGGGAACTGAGAATCTAACAAGCAGGTGGCTCAGCCTTTCCGTATCTTTGTCCCAGACACCTATTTCTATTTTCTATACAGAGGTTGAGCACCTCCCTGAGAAGCTACTTCAAGCAGAATCGCCGTCTGCTTGAAGCAGCTCGCTCTTTTACTATTCAGTATGGGTATTCCTAAGACACTTTCTGAGGCGATGCTGTTCTCAGCCATGTGAGAGCTCTTGACTTCAAGGTAACCACCGAGTTACTTCAAGGTCGTGGAATCATTCATTCCATTCCTCCACGAGTTTTTGGATGTGTATGTTTTGTTCATGGTCACCAATGGTCCCATTCTATACACGCACACAAGGAATCAAAATAACTACCTAATTAGGGGGCTAACATTTGCTAAGCAACAGCAGATCCAACAGTGAGTCAGGAACTAATGAAAATTCTGTGTGAAATTGATTAAGAGTAAAAACCAATTTAATACCCAGAAGGCTAAAATATAAGGTTCACCAAGAACTAAAGAATTTTTTACCTAAAAAAGCTAAAAAGCCTACAACAAATGTGAGTGAGAAGATGAGTGCAAGGAGTGCAAGGAATGGTACTTTACTAAAACTGAAATTCATCCATCCTATAACGAATTTGCCCTACATTATGGGTATCAAATGAAACTTCCAAGACTTCAGTGACGAAAATCATATTTGACATGCAAGTTTCCTTCCCAATCATCCCACATCCTAGAAGAATATACATGTTTCGAACTCAGTTTCAACGAACTTAAACTAACAGAGGGAAGAATCCACTTCATTTGACCACAAAATAAACAAATGAAGATGCACAAACAGTAAAAACGTATAAAAATCCATCCTACGTATGTGCACACAACCTTTCTATGATCTCACACAGCAAAATAGATTGACTACTAGAAATAATAGCTGCACCACGTCTAATATACACATTACACTTCTGGAATATGTTTGAAACCATAGTTTGCACATACCAAATTCACAACCAATTAGTCGTTCTGAACATGTAGCTGTTGCAACTAAGTGTGTATATTTACTTGTAAGGTTCTCAAAAACAGTACACTGAGAATTAATGAAGATTATAAATCAAGTCACACTGATATCTGCAAACAAATTATACTGAGTCCTATTATATGAATACCAATTCAATCTTGTCACACAAATTCTTTTAATATTTTTTTAAAGTTTCTAGATGTATAACAACAACAAGGTTCATGATCTTTTGAGCAACAAAGAATCCCAAGTGAATACAGGATAGACGCATTACAATTTTTTCTGAAAAAGAGGAAGAAAAGAAAAGAAAGAAACAAAGACGGGGGAGGGGGAATCTCTCATACTCAGCCTCAGGCGCTCAACACAGATCTTGTATCAGTGTCCCACCAGGTAAAAACAACAGATATTTGTTACCTAGAAAACCACTTGGAAACATAAACCTTTCACATCCTTAGAGTAACACCAAACCGATGGTGAACTATTAACTTTTATGCTAGGTGGCCCCAGGATGATACATAAAAACTCAACTCCAGAAAAACAACGGAGAAACACCACAGGCAAGGAAAATTTGAGAGAAAGCACTTATCTACTCAACCTTTGGTTCTCATGATTGTGATGCTGCCTTTGCCTCCTTCAGTGCATATCTTAGTTTTACCAACAACAGGCTTCCCGGAAAATGCTGAAGTGGGATAAGAAGCAGGACCTTCTTTACTTTGCTTCAATTTTGATGGTGGCGGAGTGTGTATCAGCTGGTTTATGTCCTTTAGAGTTACATCTCCGTGGGCACCGCATGGTTTAATGAAGGCAAATGGATAGACAACAGAAGCAGCTAACTTTGATGGAGTTTGCATGTATGACTTCCTACCTGAGTATGACAAATATAAGCTCAATTGTAAGAATCTTGCTATGATTAACAAAGTGGTGACTTCATAATTGAGGACACATTAATACAAACATGGAAACAGTGCACATCTTTGGACATAGTTGGATCAAAATGTGATTTCTTGTTCTCAAGCGACCTAAACTGGGAAATCGACACATTATTGAGAGAAAAATTTGGAGTTTATTGTAATTCTTGAGTTTGAACAATATAAGCCAAAAAAAGCAGATTAAGACAAGAGAAAACCTTTAAAAACAACATTTCGACGAGTTTGAGTGGGATGCTCTGGAACTATATTAGCTTCATATTCAGGTGGCACATTGCAGAGCTCTACACAACAGTGAACTATTGTTATAGACTAGTTTAAATGTTAAAAAGGAGGGAAAAAAGAAAAGGCACAATGAATCAATCAGGAAAGGTAAAATAAAATAAAAAGAAAAACAATCAGTTATTGGATGGAAAAAACAGCTTCACATACCTGTAATATCAATTTGAACATCAGATGATGCCCCACACATATTCCTGCATCCCAAAAGATTAAAGTAATCAATTTAAAGAGAAAAACATATTAAATTTGAAGGATTAAAGATAAGATTGAAAAAGGAACATACATATCGTCAGGGCTGAAATGCATCTCAGCATCATTAAAGCAATCAGCTAGCCATCCCTCAGATGACTGATCCAGGCCCTTATAACAAGATGTAGATGTATCTTCTGATATGCATTACATTTTAATTAAAAATCCCGAGTAGAATATTGAGTTCCCATGCATGTCAGAACCAAATTTTACTAGAGACAAACCTGCAAACCCTGAAACCCACTGTGACATATCGGAGAAAGTTTCTTCAATTGAATCGTCCCTTCCCTAAACATATATAAAAAAATATGGATTTAAGTACTATTCATGCAACATGTAAAAATATTTCTATAGAACTTCATTCCACATCACAAGTTAAGAATTAAAAAGTTCATTCCATTGCATACATTGTTAACTAAAACTACTAGAGTTTGAACATGATTACATGAATTATGTATGAACATGAAGAAGAACAACTTATTAAATAAATAGGTTGAGGCCAACTACAAAATGGTTTCAAAAAGAAAATAAATAAATAAAAAGAGAGATGCAAAACATATGAGGTATATGACAAGGTCCCCCATAAACAATAAGATTTTCATGATAGCAATATTTATAAACTTCCACATTACCTTTTGTGCCATGAACATTTCAGTGAGTATATAGACCAGTGACGATCAGATGTCACATTTTCAAAAGAGGAAGTGGTAGGTTGGTGCAAACTTTGATTTTAAGAATGTTCAATGTGGATAGCATCTCCTCAGTGCAAAAATCCAACAAGGAAATAGTATGTTGGCGCAAACCTTTGAATTTAAGAATGTGGATGGCATATCCTCATTGCAAAGGTAGGCATCCAAAACATCAGTGTCGAACTGTAGCATTCGGCGCCTCTTTACTTGTGAAGAAGTCTCCCTGCAATACTCTGATTCCTTGTTCATGTATTCTGCAATTAATTCGTTCAAATAAAAGTAGTTCCTTTGAACTGCACTATCAATTAAAAGCTAAAAGAATGACACTTATCGGGAAGAAAATAAATAAATTACCAGTATTGGTAACACTGTAAGCCAAATCCCCACAGTCTTTAATTGGGGTTGTTTGACCAAACATGTAGGAAAGATCTTCTTCGTTTTGGCTCACTCCATCCCCTAGGAATTCAGATATGTCTGCTCACAACAGTTAGAGCAATTCAATATCAGTAACTCTGCCCCAGTAATTCAGCATTAGTAACTTCACTCTAGTATATTGATTTACTACTGAATCAAAAACGTAAGTCTAGCTCACCAAGATTGGTATCCTTTTGGAGACAATAATTCTCTCCTTTCCAGTCCCACATCCTGCTGCTATCATTTCATACAAAAAAAAAAAAAAACTACTATTAGTTCCCGAATAATAATTAACCTTTAAAGGTAAACATGTGAATGTAAAAAAACACTTCGATTCAAGCTCAAGTAAAAGTGGATGTAGTCTTGTAGAAAAAGTTGCAAGGTGCTATATTAAGGTCATAACCTAATACTTGAGCTGCATTCTAGTTAAATATAGTGAAATTTAAATTGGTTCAAAATAATCAAACGGAAATAATAAATAAATAAATAAATTTATCTACAACCTACACAGGAAAAAGCCAAAAATAAACATAATATAGTAGCATAAGAACAAAAAGAGTGAAACGAATAAACTTAATTAGACCACAAAATAAAAACAGGAGGAGCATTAGATCCAATTACAAGAGCAAATCGGAACAATAAACAGCTCCTGAAAGAATGCTGAAACAAAGTCATCCACAATCATGAAATGCATGAAAAAAGAATACCTATCAATAATTGGATCTGTGAGAGAGAGGGGTGCGCTTAAAAAATTAAATGGAAGAGGATCATAAACTATGTTAGACAAAATCGCTCACTCTGATGAAAATTATAGCAAAAAATCACTTAGAAAAATTAAAAAGACAGAAAAAAAAAAGAAAAAAGAAAAAAAACCATCAAATACTCAACGCTCATACTGATTCTCGTTTCGCGATTGGAGTATAATCAAACAAAACGCAGAAGAGACCAAGTAAAATCAAGAAAAACCCAATCTATCAAGCCAACATTTTCATCCAGAGAAATTCAGATATGCACAAACAAGTACTCCTATAAACAATGACATCGAAGTCAACATTTTCAACTAACCCATTAACACATATCACAAACAATGCATTCCCAAACCAACCCAGTAATCAAAAACCCCAAAAATAGAAGAAAGAGAGGTCACCATACCTGTCATTGTTCTTATCCATTTCAATAATATCTATCTGCAATTGAACGCGAGGTAGAAGAATCGGAAGTAGAGGGTATCTTACTCTAGTCACAAATCACTCTCTCATCTACTACTACACCATCAAAAGTAGCCGTTGCAAGGGATCAATTGTCGGCATATAATCTATATATATATATATAAACACAAAATTACAGTGGTGCTTGAGATTTGTGCAAGGGAGGAAAACGCCGACCCTCACTCCTCTCTATTTTCTCTCTCTTCTTTTCTTGGGCTATTTATTATATCTCCATTCACAACCACGACAGAGCACGCTGGTCCCTCCAAGTCCGTTACTCGTGGGGTTACGTTTTTTACTTAATTATTTTAATCACTTCATTAATCTTGTTTTGGAAAAGTAAAAAGATCGATTGAGCTGGGTCAGGGTGCAGGGAAAAATCCCCTCTAATAAAAGTCATTTACGTGGTCACAATATAAGTTTTATTTTCAATCTATTGACAAGTTACAAAAGCCCAGCTCTGTTCAAGGCCGGACAGAGACCCAACAGTCCAAAGTCGCTAATGTTGAACTTTCAGCCCATTAACAAAGTCTTCTGGACCAAGTTGCATGCGGCTCAAATTCATTTAAAGAAGGAACGAGTCTTGCTAATGACATAATCCAATATAGAAGGAAAGTTCTATGTAGGAAAAGTCTGGCATGAAAAGAATTGTAAAAGGAAAGAATTCTACTTATAAAGAATGGTATATAGAATGAATTGAAGTAATTCCATTACCTTTTTGTATATAAAAAGAAGCAGAAACCTCTAATAAGATTCATCGAGCAATATATGTTTTTCTCTATACAATTCTTGTTAATTATTATTTTATTTGAATGAGTTGTATTATTTATTTTTTAATTATTTTTGGTTAAGAAAATTTTTGCACCTACAGTGACTGACCATTAATTGATGATTGAGACAACAGCTATTACCGTTTTAGTTGCTGGTAGTTTAGGAAAAAAAATTCAAGTAATATTTGTAAGTTATCTAACTTTTTAAATTTAAAATAATAATTTAATAGTAAATCTTTTATCTCACAAGTTGGACGTTGAAATATGGAACTTGTTTGGTTTACAATTATAGAAACAGTTGTTTGATTTGTTTGATTTGTAATTATCAAAAATAGTTGAAAATTATTATAAAAATGTCTTTTATAATTATATAAAAAATATTATATTTTCAGAAAGAAATTTTTTTTAATAGTAAACAAATTCATCATCCCAGATATATTTGAAGTTTGTCATATATATAGGGTCCACGATGGCATGTCAAGTTATTCTATTAAGAACAAAGCATTGTGTTATATTAAGGGATGACTCTGATTGACGCATGAACAATCACAGTTGTCCTCGACTGTCTCCTCAAATTAAATTAGAAACGAATTAGGAAATGAGAGAAAACTCATTTTATGATATTTTGGATTTGGAATCATAATTTAACAAAATATAAGATTTTTTTATATAAAATATTATACTTAGAATATGTTTTACAATTGTATTTAATTATTTAATTTATACAGAGCAGAAACTCCAATTCAATTCCGAGGAAGAAAGGAAATGAGGTGAATGTTCAATTTTAAAGTGAGATATGATAGTTTATTTTCCTTTGTACCTTACCCACCTCATGCACATCCCACATTTCTCAAATTTTCCACCACATCAGCCTCAAATCTCTTACGTCTTTTTTGAAATTTATTTTATATTGTGTTCAACGGTATAAAATTAGAGTTTTAAAATTAAAATTAGTGAAATTTGAAAAAATTTTAATTTTATTTTATTAATTGCATTTTTCCAATTGTACAAATTTTTGCATTTTTTCAATTATACAAATTTCAAATTTATAACTTCAATTCAATACAAACGAATACAACCTTAAAACACTTGGACTTGAAATTGACCTTCTTTTGTAATGGACTGCTTTTTATATTTTTAACAGAGCAAAACAAATATTTACAAAGCTTCATATAATGGATCGTTATAAATTGGGCCTTGTGTAAAAGAACAAAGCTTCTTATAATGGATCGTTTATACATTGGCCTTTCACGCACCAAACCCCATGCCTATTCAGAAGACATAATAAAAAACTCATTTTGTTAGAAATCCAAAGAAAGTGGCAGAGCAGCCCAAATCAAGAGGAAATGAAATTAGGGTTTTGTTAATTTTGATAAACATGAAAAAGAATATATAAAATAAGAAATTGTTTGAAGATCAGTAATAGTGATTGTGGACAATTATGATGCTCTTGTAGTTACCGGAAAAAAATAAAAAAGGAAGGATAAAAGATAAATTATAATGATATTGTGGTTTGGACTTACACATGGACAAGGATTTGGATTCCTTGGGGTGAATATTATAGAACATAAGGATTAATATAGTAATATAGAATTTCGATTTATTTATCATAATTACAATTCTAAATTCTATATTACCCTTTGCGTTCCACACAATTTCATTTATATGTTTTGATGCAACCAAAACAAGAAATTTAAAGAAAGTAAATTTATTTAAGTATTTTTTAATAATAATAATAATAATAATAATAAACATTTAGATCCCAATCTATAAATCAACATATTACCACCTAACAATGCAAAAGGGTTTTGTCTAGTATTGCCACAAAGGTAGAGGGAAAAAATTACTAGAAATGTTTAACTTTCATAAACAAGTGGTATGTACATCATACATACCACTTGAGTTGGATTTGATTATTATTATTATTATTTTATTTTATTTTATTTTATTTATTTATTATTATTATTTTTTTTTGTCGACATTTGAGTTGGTTGAGTAATATAAAATGTGTATAAAATTTTATTACTATGTATTATATAAAAAAGTATATAAAGTTGGGTCTTCCTCGTACCTCGATGCAGTTGTTTACTTGTCTCCATACAGTGGGGCCCATCTTCCTTTATCTCTATATACTCCATTTATACAGCCTAGCCAATGACAAGTCTTATCCACTCTGTTGGAGTGTTGACCGTCCTGGTTTTTTTTAAAAAAAAAACCAATCAAACTCCATCTTTTAAAAAAAAAAAAAAATCTTTTTTAAGCCTTGAATTATTATTTTTTTACTCTTCTCAAAACCAATGTTTGTTTAGCGAGAATTCTTTATCAGAATAAATAATTAAAAAAAATAAAAGGGTCTCAAATATTAATTCTTGTTTTATAGTTATTTTTCAGTAAAAAAGATATCTATCAATTATAAGGAAAAATATAATTTTTAAAAAATATATTATAAAAATTCAAAAACAATATATATCTATTAAAGACATTCTTTTTTTAACAATTATTTTATTACTATACTTTATGTAAGTGATGAATGACACTATCAATGTTATTAGTCACTTATGTAAATGTAGTTAGATGTATTTGACTTTTAGACTTTGTGTGTGAGAGAGAGAGAGAGGAGAGAATATCTGCACTATTTGATGTTGGTTTCAGAGAATCTTGTAATTAGTATGATAATCTGCAACTGGATCAAACCAGAGAAGGGTTCTTTGCTCTCTATTCCCTTGCCCATTTGAGACCACATTGGTCTGTAATGTGTAAGGTTTTCCTTCTCTATTACCCAAGAACTCGAAGTCTAGTTCATCGTGTCGGAGTGCGAAGTTAGCTGCAATAGATTAATAGACCAACCACATACATAGATTAAAAATTAACCTGGATCAAGAGTATGGCATGAGAAGCAAATATTAATTTAATTTTGATTAGTCACTAGAAATTAAATTAATTTTTTTTTTCCCAGAGGATTATTATAAGATTATATATGAAATGAAATGAAATGTAAGGCATGCATGAATTTATATGAAGTATAAATTACATAGAAAGCTGTAACAACTCCTGCAGAGTCCTTGTCTGGCAGCTTAATCCTCAAATGGAAGAATCCAGATCCATAGTTTAGCTTTGACCCAAACCCAGCTCCTATATTATATATAATATATGCACAATTAAAACCATTAAAATGAAGAAATGGAAAGTAGTATATACCAGCCTTGTACCATGCATTCATATATACCAGAAATGCAATGCTAGCCAGAGTCATTCATGCAGTGTATGGTTGTTAATGATAGTCAAATAGAGATCGAGACATAATATATTTAAGAAAAAGTGGATTGAATTTACACAGAAAGACATACACAGTAGGGGTGGTCTTATATAATATATATATATATATATATATATATATACACACGCAATATGTTCAGGGCATAGCAGTGCTCTTGAATCACAAAGTGAACATGCATTTTTTGTGAACATGCATTTTGATAGCTCTTCCCTGATTCACATAAAATTTTTAAATCAAAAAGAAATTCTTTATTTACAAATTTTCAAGATAATTAAGATTTTTTTTTTGAGAAATGCGTGTAGGAGATTTATAACTAAATTTTCTTTAGACTTGTAAATTTTTTTTTTTATTTATTTATTTAAAAATTACCTTGATGTCTCTAGCTAAATGGGTGGAAACAACATGGATTTTAGATTTAAGAAGAAGTCAACCTGTGTGGAGGGAAAAATATCCCTTCAATGAGAATAATCCACGTCATCATAAATATAAACTTATCCTTGATGAGTTTATGAAGCCCATCTCGTTCAAATCCAAATTGAGTTTGAGGCTAGTCTAAGATTACTGTTCACAAGCCCAATACTATTGTTATTTGACCTTCAGCCTGTTGAAGCCCGAATTAAGAGATTATCATCCCAACATGTTAACATTAAACATCCGGCCCATTATTCAAGCCCAATTGATTCAAGGTATATTCAACCCACTTTTCCAAGATTGAACAAATCCTATCGGTAGAAGGATTTATCATAAAAGGAGAATTCTTTGATAGGAAGAGTTCTGTACAAGGCAAGTTCTGCGTAGGAAATATTATACCATAGAAAGAACTCTATTTGATACGATAGAATTGGAGGACAAACAACGCGAGTCTTACCTTAATTTTACCAATTTTTGTGTATAAATAGAGGCCCAGACCTCCAATAAAAGGATCCAAGCACTTCTTTATACACTGTTCTTATTTATTTTTATTATTTTTGAGTGAGTTATTTTATTTTTCTCAATCATTATTGGCTAAGCGAAATTTTGCACATACAACATGATTTAATCAATTTATATATATATTTATATATATTAAAAATAAAAAAAAATCAACCTGAAAATTTATCCATGGAAAGCTGGATTTCTCTTCCTTGGTTTAGAGGCAAAACATGATCATTTCCCCATGTAATACTATAATTCACATCAAAGCTAGAATTTCTTGCTCCAATACCATCCATCACCACACCAAGTAGGAGAATTATTAATGCAAAAAAACTCAATAGAGAAAAACCTATTTCTAAAAAATTTTAACAACCGCTTGAAATGCTCTAAATTTTTTTAATACTTTATATTATTATTTATTTAAAAATAATGTATTAAACTACATTAATGTACTGAAACTCTTTTTATTTTTAATAATACTGATAGTATAAATATAGATATAAGTATTGTTGGTAACTTCGGATCCGCAATTACCATGTAGGTTGGAGTGTAGTAACAAAAGGGTGTTTAGATCAACTTCAATGCCTACAGCCGTAACTTCGCTTATTGGGTTCTAATTCCTGGCCCAAATCTTTGGGCTCTGTACATTACCTTATTTAACCAAACTAACTCTCCATTTCAGAGAAAAAAAAAAAAAAAAAATCAAATTTATTTTCAAATAGAAAGAAGTTTTGTTATTTTTAGAAATTTAAAGAGTTTCCAAATTAAATAATTCACCCGTCTTATAAATAAAAAGGCGTGTTGACTGATTTGGAAGAAGTTATCTAGTTTCACAATCGTCGTTGAGGCATCATTTGTCACCCTTCGCCGCCGTCTTCGGCTCTAAAGGATGCATATAATACCTTCCCCCTTGGGTATCATATTGCAAAAAAATATTGATCTTGAAACAATGTCCTATTTAATTTTGTAGTTTTATTTTTCGTTTCTTGATTGATTAATTTGTTTTTTGTTTGAATTGTTTCAGTTCTGCTTGCGTTGTATTACAATCGCTCTGGATTTCCAGTGAACTATGTTATTCTTGGACTGTTAGATATTTTAGCGTCTGTTGCGGTCAGTTTGACATGTTGTTTTACCAACGGTAAGCAATTTAAATCTTTCTTCCCTTCTTCTTGAATTCATGTTTAATTGAATTTGCAAACCTTCTGCATGGTAGCATCAAATCTTAAGCACGCCAAACTAAATTTAAAAATTCATGTTATTTATTTATTTATTTTTATGTTTGGAAGCCAGTTGCAGTTTTATTTATTTATTTTTATTATTATTTTTTTAATTAAAAAAAGAAAAAGGATGCCAAACAAAATAATCTTAAGTCAACTTTCTGATTTTGGAAACTTTCGATACTTGTAATTTTTTTTTTTTTTTTGAAACTTTCCATACTTTGATTTTTGGGAACTTTCTATATTCTTATTTTTTTTTTTTTGAAACTTTCATCATTCATCACCTTTTTTATTTCTTCCTAGATATAATATTGAAGGATTTTAGTTAAAAGAAAATGAAGTGAAGTGAAAGAAAATGAAGTTTCTAATATCAATTTGGTTAGGAGAAAATTTGGTAAGAAAATTATGTAAAAATAAAGGAAAAAATCCCCTAAATTTTTTTTTTTAATTGGTGCAAATAAGGACATTATTTCAATTTAGCAAAAAAAAAAAAATACTTAAAATACTCATATAAAAAAAAAAATAATGATGAAGCAAAGTGTTAAGTTTGTCCTCTCTATTTCTCTCCTGTTTTCATTTTCTGGTCAATCACTACCATTCATTGACTTTATCATATGTGTATATATATATATATATATTCATTATCACAACACGCCTACCTTTCTACTGACACCACAACTTGTGGCGTCACCACCGCCATCCTCAACCCACCACTACCGCCAAAACTTTATAGCATACCATATGATGGTTGGGTGGAAATTGGGCTTGTGACATATGCAGAATCTTTCTTTTTCTCTCTAATTTTGTGTTTTTTGTTCAGAACAAACTAGGAACGAAATTGAGGATCGGAGAGGTTGTTGGTGGCTTCTCAAGCGCTGTTGCCAACGCTCCGACCTCGGATTGTAAGACTTTTATGTTAACTCAGTTTCTACTCTTGGTCCTCTCCCATATCGATCTTCACCAATTAAATCTCTCAACACAATTAATTTTGTGCTGCTTCGTTATATATATATATATATATATATAATTTTGAAATTTTACATTATTTTTCAAGCAATTTGCTTTAGTAATTACCTCCTCCTTAGAAATCAAACCGCCATATTTTAGTTTCTACAAGCTTTTGCTAAATGAGCCATAAGCATTGCTTCCATATTTGGAACATCTTTGGAGCTGGGATTGTTCAGTAACGTCGTTGGGTCCCCCGGACCCATAACGGTCATCACCCATAGCTTTCAGCAGGAACCACCAAGTCATATCCACTCTCTCTTATTGCAGGGTGGAGAGAGACTCTTGTGAGAGAGTTTTTCTTTATTTGTATTTTAGGATTTTTATAGAAATTTTAGTCAAAATTGATGATTAGGGGCAATTTGCTCAAAATGTTAATAATAGAGGATTTATATATACTTAATTTTTAATAAAGGCATTTTTTTACACTTCTTTTATATAGTGAGGGTTTTTTTGTACTTTAACTCTTATTTATATATGCATATAAAATTAATTTTTGATTATAATTATTTTAAGTTCCATAATTATTAATGATTGAGATTGACTGATGTAGTACAAGTTTTTGTAGTTTGATTAGAAAATTAGGGTTAATGTAGGTGTTGTAGGTCACTGGGATTCATTGAAAACTTACGAACTGAGGTTTTACAATTATTGTGTTTTATATTATTATTTTTAGTAATATTTTATTTTACATTATCTTCTTCTTCTTCTTCTTCTTCTTCTTCTTCTTCTTCAATTTTAAGCCTAGATTCTAGGCATTTGTGTTTTGCCACATTCCAAGATGAAACAAGGCTAATTGTTATATATATATATATATATATATATACATATATATATATATCCATTAAACATGTTTGATGAGAATATTTGAAATCCAGTTTATGTCATCCTCACTATTATAACTATTGTTTGTATGGCTTTGTTTGTTGGTTTCCTGACCTCCGGAGGATGAGATGGATCGATCATAAAATTTGCGTACTTCAGGGAAAGTGAATTTGGTAGCTGTGATTTCAACAACTGTGGTGGTTGTGAGTCTCACTCTCTGTTGGAAAAATATATGCTTAATGTGACTTTTAAGATATAACAATCCTTATACTAATATGTCACGAGATAATTAACAATATGCTAATAAATCATTAATTAAATATGCAATTCTATATTTAATTAAATATGTAAAATAAAGTAATAAAATAATAATAATATGCAAGGAATGAATCTGGACCGAGGCTAGTATTGGATATTATGTCCTTAAGACAGATTCGCCCCGCTATGGTGCTAACGGACTCAATGGTGTCTATCTCTAAGAATACAACGGTCTCTGACTCAAAAATGCATCTATATACTATATAAATGCTGAATTGGGTGTAATCCGAACCAAATGGTTCGGACCAATCTTAATATGGCTCGATGAAATTGGATTAGGGTCGAAGTGGCTCGAACCACTTAACCTATGGTTTGAACCCACTTGGGTTGGGTTCCAGTCTAGAGAGGGAGATAGAAGAAAATGAAAATGAATTAATTGCAAATGATCCAAAGGGGGTATTTATAGAAACAGATATACCTTTTCGGATTAGGTGTATCTCTTCATTATTAGACACAACCATTGCAATAAGTTGCAATGGTTTACATAATGTCTGTTCACCACTAGACACATCTATTCCAATAGGTTGCAATGGTTCACATGGTGTCTGTTCACCAATAGACACATCTATTCCAAGAGGTTGCAATGTGCCTTTTCGAGTGGGTGCAACCATGGGTTATGATGGTTCGGAAAAAAGTGTAACCCTTTGAAAAAACTAAAAAGTGATTTTTTTAATTTAAAAGGTGTAACCATTTAGAAAAACTAAAATATGGTTTTTTAATTTAAAAGGTGTAACATTTTAGAAAAACTAAAAAGTAGTTTTTTTAATTCAAAAAACCAACCACCAAAAAAACTCACTCATTTGTGAAACCCATTTAAATAAACCCAACCCAAAATTAGGCCCAATCCAAAATTCCAAAAGAGAATAATCTGGGCTTTACAATTAGGCCCAAGCCCAAGCCCAAATCCTAAACTCACCTTATTTAAATTTCAATTTGTTTCGACATTTTTTTCATGTGGGACAAACACTTCCCACATTTTGCATACCCATTTAGGCTTATCAAAATACCACACTTTGGAGCTAATTTCTCATTCATCCGGAAATGGATTTTAGAAAGTAAATATACCACGTTCATCTCCTTGCGGAAAGAAACGCGCTTGTCTAGAGATAGGTAAAAAATTATTAGCGGAATCTATTTCAAATCTCATCCAAAGTTTATGTTTTTAATGCCCCCGTTTCCAACACTCTCTACACATTTTGGGCTTCAAGAAGAGGCCACAAATTTAAATTTCATGGGCCCTTCTTTTTTGTTGCTATTGCTGTGCTTCTGGGCTTTGGCATGGCTGAGGTATGTATGTATGTATGGTATGTGCATTTCACACTAGTTGTGTTTGTGAGGACAATGGTTTTTTACCCATCTTCTTCTTGCAGCAATGGTATCCTGACATGGATAAATTGTGGGTGATGATATATGGATGTGTAGCGTCGATCACTTTCTGTGGGTACAGCATATATGATACGAGCGAGCTCATCAAACGCGGGTACATCATATATGATACGAACGAGCTCATCAAACGCAAATCCATTGATCGATATATTTGGTCTGCTATGTCATTGTATCTGAGCATCATCACTCTCTTGCTCGAGCTGTTAACCGTCTTCAGGGCTGCTGATGGTGAAGGAGATTTTCTTCAACAGATATACACATCCACTTTCTTTGAATTCAGAAGCAACCTTACTCATACTAACATGCAAGTATGAACCACTTTGTTATTGCACACATTCCGTGGTATTCCATTTTTTGGCCCTTTCACGCACCAAATAAAAGTGGCAGGGCACCCCCCAAATCAATAGGAAATGAAATTAGGGTTTTGTTAATTTTGATAAACATGAAAAGGAATATATAAAATAAGAAATTGTTTGAAGATCAGTAATAGTCATTGTGTGGACAATTATGATGGTCTTGTAGCTAGTGGGGAAACAAGTATTACCACAAAGGTGGAGGGAAAAAATTATTAGAAATGTTTAAGGTTTAGAAACAAGTGCTTTTATCATTCTGCTAACCCTTTTTTTTTTTTAAGAGTATATATATCAATCGCATAATATACATATCATTTAAGAAGTATAATTCAAATGCTATACTTTTATTTGAATTGGATGAGTAATATAAAACGTGTATAAAATTTTATTATTAGTTATTATATAAAAAAGTATATAAAGTTGGGCCTTCCTCTTACCACGATGCAGTTGTCTACTTGTCTCCATACAGTGGGGCCCATCTTCCTTTATCTCTATATACTCAATTTATACAGCCTGGCCAATGACTGGTGCTTATCTTTTTTAAAAAAAACACCCAATCAAACTCCATCTTTTAAAATAAAATAAAATTATACCATTGGCTTGGTGGGTAATGGGCATGGGTGTCTAATTTTATGGAAATTAGTCATATTGTTTATTAATTGAGATAAAAACACTCGGCATGTGAAAATCATTAGAAAAACATGTTTTATATAAACCGAGAATTGTGCCTGTCCCAATCCCAGTCAGATAAACTGTTCTGAACCACCAACTTAGACACCAGTTTAACCATTCTAGAATCTAGATTGATAAACTGATTAATTTATATATAAGAATTGTGTGTTTGTGTGTGTATAGATATACATATATTTGGGTATGTATATTTCGGTATTCTGTACAACTACGTATTTTGATACTTAGGAGGAAACAGCATCCAATATAGATCATGTTGGGGATTAAAATATTATTAGTCGAAAAGACACGTGCATTTTTTTTATTAAAAATAAAAATAGAAAATCTGTTAGCACCAGTATTAAATATGCAACTTGGTGACATAAAAGGGTAGTTTTTATTGGTGGACTATGGGCCCCATAACTTTTGGGCACTACAAGACGTGTAAGACAGCCCAAGCCCAAAAACCCCTGTGATGTCATACCCATTATGGTCTGGCCCGCGGTGTCGTGTATTGGTGCATGTCAAGATAACCCAACCAAAAGCCTTTCAACCTTGTAATACCAGTATGGATGGCAATTTGTCCGGTGGGAATGGGTATCCACCCACCCTGTCCTGTTTACAATGGTTTTAGAATTGGATGAAAATAATTTTTATTCGTGAAAATTCACGCGGGTTCGGGGCGGGGGTGGGGGGAAGTCGTTCCACCCTGCCCTACCCCGTTTAGGTAGGTAAATTATTAAATTACCCTGATTTTATTATAATATATAGTTAGCTCTAAAACCGTTCTAGAGATCGGCAGATGCATATGAACTAAGATCGTTCATGCCCATAAAATCTATGTTAAATTATTGATTGTTCATTTCTTATAAATTTTTTCAATAGCTATATAATTGTATTTGAGGAAAAAATATTAAACAAGGAGGAAAAATTTTGGAACTAAACAGAGCGAAAATGGGGTGAAAAGGGCCCCCGTTTAGGCGGTTTTGGGCCGGGGTTTCTAAACGGTTGCGGAGGCGGGGAGGGTCCACCCGCCCAAAACCACCCCGTTGCCATCCCTAAATACCAAGGATAAAATTGTCCTCTCACCCAACTTACGTCCAAATAAGCTACAACCATATTCCTCTTGTTTATATTATTATTTATTAATTAGGAAGAGTCACTAGCCTATCAAGTGCTAATTTTTTTTTACTCTTCTCAAAACCAATATTTGTTTTGTGAGAATTCTTTAACAGGAAAAAAAAAATAAAAAAAGAAAAGAAAAAGAAAGTAGAAGGGTCTAAATATTAGTTCTTGTTTTATAGTTATTTTTCAGTAAAAAAAAATATCAATTATAAGGAAAAGCATAAATTTTTTAAAAACTATTATAAAAATTCAATAATATATATCTATTCGAATCATTTTTTTTTTAAATAATTATTTTAAGTGAATACATTTCATTTGCATGAACAATCTAATTGACCGAAATCAGTTTTTTGCATTGAAAAATAATTTGTAATCCGATAATTGAACTGATTAGACTAATTATTTTATGTGAGTGAGGAATGATATAAGCCCCATTAAAAAAAAAATTATTGTTTGAAGTTAGTATGACTATATATCTGTTTGAACTCTGTATATATCATGTATTATGTATATATGATGACTCTTTTGAGTTTATTATATAAGTGATAGACTAATTAATGTTAAATATATCCACAAATAAATGACACGTTATTGGGACAGCTTGTTGACAACCAATGCATGTAACAAAATAAATTTGGCAAAAAACAGCATACTTTTGAAAGGAATATTTGCCCATACACGTACAATGATGATCCTGCTGTAGTAGTACTACATGGGACTTGATAACAATGGGTAACGTACAATTCCTAGGCTTGGAAAGCAACTTAATTCAAGCAAAAATATTGAGGTTTTATTTTGACATATATATATATAAATCCTATAGATATATACATTCTTCATTTTTTATTTTCATCAAACTATATATATATATATATGTATACGAGAATGATAATAAAAATATTTATCTCTTGAATTCCCGAACTAGCTTGGTATTGTGATGTCAGATGTGGTTTGTTATGGGGATAATATGGAAAAGTTGATGGCGTGTGGGGAAGGTACGTAGAAAAAATAGCCCACACACTTTGTTGCATCCTTTTTCATGTCCTCTTGGAATTAAGCTGATGTCTAGACCATACATATATATGCATCTTTTTCTCTCTCTATAAATATGTATATTTTGCACACTCTTTCTCTCACATTAGCTACTCAAATATTACAGTATATAGCCAGCTAGCTAGGGTTAATTTCTCTTTGAAATGGGTTTTTCTCTATCGAGTTTTTTTGCATTAATAATTCTCCTACTTGGTGTGGTGATGGATGGTATTGGAGCTAGAAATTCTAGCTTTGATGTGAATTATAGCATTACATGGGGAAATGATCATGTTTTGCCTCTAAACCAGGGAAGAGAAATCCAGCTTTCCATGGATAAATTTTCAGGTTGATATATATATATATATATATATATATTTTGGGTAAGTAATATATATATATTTGTGTGTGTGTGTGTATATATATATATATAATATTAGGTAAATCAGGTTGATCTTCTTCTTAATTCTTTATTTTATATTCTTGATGTGAGTGATTTGAGAACTTAGGATACTCCTCTCTCTCTCTCGGCCAGCTTTCTAATAGGATTGAGTTCTTGAAAATATAGGTCAAATTCTAATAGGATAAATCTAAAATCCATGTTGTTTCCACCCATTTAGCTAGAGACATCAAGGAAATTAAAAAAATAAAATAAATAAAAATAAGAAGAAGAAAATTTCCAAGTCTAAAGAAAATTTTAGTTATCAAATTAATCTCTCCTGCCAAAAGGAAAAGTTGATGTACATATTGTGAATAATTGGGTGTTTTCTTTAACTTAGAAAAAAAAAATTTAATTTTGGATCAAGGTGAGCATTAAATAAATCTCCTACACTCATTTCTCTAGCAAAAAATCTTAATTATCTTGAAAATTTGTAAATAAAGAATTTCTTTAATTTCTTTTTGATTTAAAATTTTTATGTGAATCAGAGAGGAGCTATCAAAATGCATGTTCACAATTTACCGGAAAAAAAAAAATGCATGTTCACTATGTGATTCAAAAGTACTGCTATGCCCCGAACATAATGGGTACACTAGCATTGCATGTGTACCCATTAACGGTATATATGAATGCACGGTACAAGGTATATATTACTTTCCATTTCTTCATTTTAATGGTTTTACTTGTGCATATATTATATATATATAATATAGGAGCTGGGTTTGGGTCAAAGCTAAGCTATGGATCTGGATTCTTCCATTTGAGGATAAAGCTACCAGACAAGGACTCTGCAGGAGTTGTTACTGCTTTCTATGTAATTTATACTCCATATAAATTTATGCACGCCTTACATTTCATTTCATTTATAATCTTATACTAATAATCCTCTGGAATTTTTTTTTTTTTAAAAAAAGAAATTAATTTCTAGTGACTATCAAAATTAAATTAATATTTGCTTTTCATGCCATACTCTTGATCCAGGTTAATTTTTAATCTGTGTACGTGGTTGGTCTATTAATATTCTATTGCAGCTAACCTCACACTTGGATAACCACGATGAACTAGACTTCGAGTTCTTGGGTAATCGAGAAGGAAAACCTTACACATTACAGACTAATGTGTTCTCAAATGGGCAAGGGAATAGAGAGCAAAGAACCCTTCTCTGGTTTGATCCAACTGCAGATTATCATACTTATAAGATTCTCTGGAACCAACATCAAATAGTGTAGACATTCTCTCCTCTCTCTCTTTCTCTTACATTTACCGAGTCTAAAAGTCAGATACATCAAACTACATTTACGTGAGCTAGTAATGTCATCCGAGTTAGTAATGTCATCCATCACTCACATAAAATAGTCAAAATGTGTCCGACTCTAAGACTACTTATCAATTTCTATAACTATAACCGTGTTTTTTGTATTTGATATTTTTGTTATTCACGAAATTAATGTAATTAATGTGGTGCTTTGATTTCAGGTTTTATGTGGACAACATCCCCGTTAGGGTATTCAAGAACAACACAAAGATTGGGGTTAGCTACCCTACACAGGCAATGCAACTAGAAGTAAGCTTGTGGAATGGGGATAGTTGGGCAACAGATGGAGGCCAAACAAAGACTAATTGGTCCTATGCACCATTTAAAGCCAATTTCGAAGGTTTTGACATTGGTGGTTGCTCCAATAATAATAATGTTGAGAATTGTTATTCCGAAAACTATTGGTGGAATAGAGAGAAGTACTGGAAATTAGAGACTACTGAACAAAGTGCACACGAGGGTGTGAGAAACAAGTATATGACTTATGACTACTGTTCTGATAGGCCTAGATTTCCTGTTCCTCCTCCAGAATGCCTTCAATCATAATCATATACTTTATGAATAATGAATAATATACTGTAACCGTGAAGATTGAAGATGATGCTTGAATATATACCTTAGTGTATTCTTTCATTGGTACGTTGATTAATTTATCTTGCATGAACTTCATTTCATATGGTCACAACATCGTGCTGTGCACATAAAATGATTCGAGCCTTTAGGTAGTACTGTCAATATAAATGATAGTGCGCCTAAGGTAAAATATCCAAAACTTTAAAAAAGATATACATGATCATTAAGTCAGGCTCTCAACAATCAAACACAAGTATCACAATTGAAATTTAACTCAAAACAATACCTAAGTTCCTCTCCATATAGATATCACTAATAATAATAATTAGTCCAATACACGAGACTCCCGATATCATTTCCAGATTGACCTTGGTGTTGATGATTGGGCAGAGGTGCAGTTTTCAAGCTTGTGAAAGTACTTTTGGGCAGAGTTGCACTTCTCAAGCTTCTGAAAGTACTTTTGGGCATGACTTGCTACTTGGGTTGGGTTCTTTGTCTGTACACAATGTCTAGAAATACTCTTCCAGTCTCCCTTACCATACTTATCCAAACCAGCTAGAAAGTTCCTATATATAAAAATTAGATGGAAAAAAGAAGAACATATTTATACAAACAAGTCCTAATTAACAAATAAAAAATAATTCAAAAATTTTAACCATAAAACAAATACATGTCAAAGCTTTGATACCATAGTAGATTCAGTTCTTAAAATTTCAAGGCACAAAGAACACCGGGGCTAACAATTTTTTGTGTAACTTAATTAATAGAATAGGGTGCAAATTGAAGAAAAAAGAGTTTATATATATATATATATAATTGAAGGATGAGGAAACTAACTGATGCTCTTCTTTGGTCCAAGGAATCCCCCTCTTCTTGGGATTAGGACGGGTAGAGTTGTTTGTGGGTGGATTGGGTGATATATTCTGATAGTTTGGCAGTGGAACAAAGCCTGACTCAATCATCTTCACATCTTCAACCAATTTCTCGTACTGTTTTTTGATATCTTCAACTGTTTTTGTGGGAATCCTCAGACCTATTTTCTCAAATAAATCGGGAGAGTCGAGGTTGAACTCAGCAAGACAATTCTCAAACAACTTGTTCTCCTCAAAACTCCAATCACTACTGTGTTTTGGTTGTGGTTGTGGTTGTGGTTGTGGTCGGGGTGGTGAAGAGATATAAAACAGTGATGGCTCCATTGTTAAAGCAGAAGAAACACTTATCAAAAAAAAAAAAAAATTGCAGAAGAATCAAAAAAAAGTTCTATACACAATAATATACAATGAAATTAAGTTTTAAAGATTTATTATGGTAAATTTCACTACCTAGATTGGAATGAGTTGTAAATTGCTGATCTCTTTATCTCTAGGGAAACTTTTTAAGGAAATTTTACTAGCTTGCATCTTATTAAATATATTATTAATTATAGTTGGGTAAAAGTGAATGTATATATATTGAAATCGACCAAATTAAGGGAAAAAAATCCTCGTGGAGATATTTGATGTACCGCATTTATGGATTTTCAAATGACGGTAGCATTTGCTGGGCACATGTGAATTAACAAAACTAATTAAGTGCTGAAAATGTTAAGAACTAGTAAATTATATGAGTTGGACTTTTAAATGCTTAAATTTGAATATTTAATTTCGTTTAGGGGTAAATTTCTCCAATTTAATAAAAATTGAGGATTTTTTGTGATAAGTGAAGTTTTAATTAAAACTTTTGATTCATTTTCAGTGATTTTTTATTTTTATTTTTATTTTTTTTAGCGATAAACAAGTTTTGTTATTAAATACACTCAATTATCATAATATAATATATTCAAATTTAAGTGTTGATTTTGTCGATTAAATAGTTATTTTAGCAGTCATGCCAATACATTACTTAGTATATAAATAATGATCCCATTGTGGGTTGCCTTTTTTGGTTGATTTGGTCCATTAATATATATGATGTAACCGACACAAAAATAATTAATTTCAGTTTTTGAAATATCAAAGAACACGAAAACAGGCTACCACTGCTTTGTGTCACAATAATTTCTATGTTGGGAATTGAATTGCTAGTCACACTTGAAAATGAATTGGGAAAAAATTGTAAGCTGGTTGACACCTGATTTATATATCTAAATCGAAGACTTTTGTAAGTTGAGCCATTTGTTTGAGATCAATTTGTGTTTGCTAGTTATAATTGTTTCGATTTAAGAATTTTTTATTAAATTGATCCATCTAAATACGATTAGTGTTTGTTAGTTATAATTGTGTCGATTTAAGAATTGAATAATCGCAACCTTCAATACTTACACTACCTATTTATTAGAAGGTTGGACATGTTAACATATTTAATGACTTATTTTGATTATATTTTTAAATTAAATATAATCTTCAACCAAACAATAAATATTAATTAAGGGTCTTGTGGTCTAGTGATATTTTTCTTACCTTTCAAAATGGATGGTCAGAGTTTGAGTCTCCAAATAAGCAAAATAGGTGTGCGAGGATCAAACAATAAATACTGTTTGGGCCAGAATTAAATTTGGTATAATTAAGAATGTTTATCGTATTGACTTGTATTGTAGAACTTTGCCAACCCTAGTTTGAATAACCAAACAATTTAATTCAATTCCTTATTTAGTGAACAACATTTTTATTGAATGTGCATGCCAAATGAATTAATGACCAGGTATATTGGGGCTCACTCAATATTTAAAAATGATAAGTGTAACGGTATTGCCCGAGTGGTAAAAGGGCTAGATTCAATTCCCTCCTCCCAACTAACTACAACCATTACGGAGATAAAAATAATAATAATAAATAAATAAATAAATAATGTATTTTCTTTCTCCAGTACGTGGTAAATAACTTTTGCTAATTGAATCTGTGACACATGCTTCCAAAATTTCAGCAAATTTACACTGCAAATTTGATTTCATGCCTTTTTTAGCAATAAAGTCAAAAACAAAAAGAAAAAGAAAACTCATGTGGGAATTCAGGAAGGAAATTATTTATTTATATTTTTTATTTCTTTCTTAATTTATTCACGCTTGCCTTGAAATCAAGTACACTCAAATTTCAAGGCATTTGCTTTTCAAATTTCAAAAAACATGGATGATTGAGTCATGAGCATAATTTCATCCTACCCTTATACATAACAGAGAGAATTACGGCCAATCCTTCCTCCCTTAATTTTCAAACCTTTCTAGGCTTTTCCATGGACAAGGATTCGAAAAGAAAAATTATGATGATCTTGTGGTTTGGTAGCCATACCTAATCGAAATCCATTCTCAGCGGTGTCATTTCTTACCTTGTTTACAAGTCCACAAGTGGCCTTCACTTAGACGATAATTAATTTCCAATTTTTATTTAACAATTTCTTTCACAACTAATATACTATTGCAAAATCATGTATTAAATTACATATTACTTTCTTTAAAGTACTTGATTCTCAAAAACTAAATTTTCTTTGTTTAAATATTAATTTATTGTATGTTAATATTTTGGAGAATTTAATTATTAAAATTTAATTTATAATTTATTAAAAAATTGCAATAATTTTTATTTTATTTTTTAACTTTTGAGTAATTTATGGCCTGTTTGCCTGGGCTTTTCAACGGGCTTCCAGGCCGAGGAAACTCTTTTTCCGATAATGGCGAGTGTTTGGTGAAATTTGTAAAATGGACTTTCAAAAAAATCTGGTTTAGAAGCGCGTTTGAGAGAAGCTAATAAAACCTACTTTCATATCAACATCCCGCAATTGCAACATTTTCTTAAATAATAAATTCTAAATTCCTATATTGTCCAATTATTTGAACCTATTTTTCTGAATCCATCTTCTCCATTCGTTTTCCTTCCATACGCTGCCCACATCCATCTTCTCTATTTGTTCTCTCCCCATAAATTCTCTGAATTTCTAGCACTCAGCTCCTCGTCTTCCTATGCTTCTGAATTTACAAATCTTTGTTAAAAGGGTAAACTACATGTTACTCTTAATTATGGCACGGATTCTCTTCGACGAGGCGAAAGAGAACACTGAGAGCGACTTAGAATAAATTCACCGGTGATCCACTGATGCTGACCCAGTCGGCAACGGAGATAAGGCAAAAAATCGAATTGAAGAGAACCATGACCACTGACCACAATTATAAATTATATATCTATATATATGTCTGTGTGTATTTATGTGTATATAGAGAGAGCGAGAGAGTTGGAGAGAGGGAGACTGTGTGTATGAAAGTGGACTCCAAACCGTCATTAGGTGGTGAATTTCTAGAGGATCGATGGATCTATTGCACTGCTCTTAAAGATGAAATCCATGATCAACTAAGCTTGAGGGTTGTAGATTGAAATATGGATAAAAATGGGTCTGTCTAGTTCATTGTAATTGATTGGATAGGTATCAAGATGAAATTTATAGGTTGTGGATTCTTCTAGAGATTGCATCGGGAATTAAAAATTCATAGTAAAAGCTGCCAGAGTTGTTAAGGAAGGAAAAATACCACATATTTTCCGTCAATATAACTTCAGAGACGGTCACCGGAACAGTGTATTCTAGCACGCTGGTGTGTATTATGACTTTTAACAGTGGACTACTTTTGAACTTAGTAACTTTAAATTGATGAAAAATAAAGATACCCATCTATAACTATAACTATATATATATATATATATAGATGGGTATATATATGTAAATGCAAGAAAATATCTCTCTAAATTTCTTTAGAGTTTCATTTCAATTGCCCTTTTTAATGCAACATTCTTGTATATTTATAGGCAATTACAAGCACTATTGGGATAAAGTTTCATTTCAATTGCCCTTTTTAATGCAACATTGTTGTATATTTATAGGCAATTACAAGCACTATTGGGATGTCATAACTGATTTTTTTTGCTGGGCCCAGCTTCAGGCTTCCTTCCTAATGGGCCTGACTTTGCCGAGTAGATCTCAAAGGTTTAGCCCATTCTGCAGTGCCTTTATGTGGGCTGAAACCAATCGTTTGATCCGATGTTTCTTTCGCGAATCATATCCGGATCATATTCGGCCCGTGCCGTTTTTGGCATCCTCAATTGCCCCCATAATTACTCCCTAATAAATTTGGGAGTAGTTATCGATGATTGCTAATCATGATTTAACGGCTCAAGGAGATCTCATAGAAAAACGAACAGTTGGATCAGGAACCAACGCCTTGAAATTCGAAATCTTCTCGTTTTCCCGACGCCTCGGTCTTCGGGCCCACTTTGCCTTTATAACCCTCAGAGATGTACTTTCAACTTTTTTTTACTGCCTCTACTTTATCTCTCTGTTAATCAAACCGTTGTTCGTCCCTATTGCAAGGCAAGTTAAATCTTCTCCGGCGAGGTTCTGCAAGAGCTACTCATTTTTCATCTTCTTGAAGCTTCCTTTCAATCCTTCAATATCCGTAAGGTCAGTTCTGTTTTCCTTTTTCTTCAATCTTATTAAAAGCAAAAACTTTTTCTCTTTCTTAGGGTTTCCGCTTTTTTTTTCATCATGCCTATTGATCTTGATATCCTCCGTATAAAACTTCATCTTCCTGACGACATACAAATTAGAGAATGTCCTGAAGAGGTAAACATTAGGACTGGAGCAAGGCTCCTTCCTGGTGAAGTTCTGTTTTCCCTTCATCAACTAAACATTATCAGATTCCATTTGCACTCCTTTTTCAACTATGTTTTCAATAAATTGGGGCTCTCTCCTCTGCAAGTGAATCCCAACTTTCTCAGAGTTATATCCGTTTTATTGCTTCTGAGTCGTGACCGAAGTCTAGATCTTGACATTATTGACTTCATTCTTTGTTATAAGGTCAACAAAATCAGGTTGAACGATTTGTACTACCATATCTACCCTCTGGAAAAGATGTCAATTTGTACGGACAAACTTGACTCTGAGAAAGGGTGGAAAATGAACATAGTTGGGGTCAGGGGAGCTTGGTCCACTCCTGCCGCGTAGGATTACCCTATTCCGACCGCCTTTAGCAAGTGTTCGGTTTTTTCATACAAGAAAGACAAAAATCATAAGGCAGATTGTCCTTGCGAAATTTGCGTTCCTTGCTTCTGCATTTTCTTATGCCGTTCCCTAGGCATCCCTAGTAATGACTTGAGCTACGGTGTTTGCAGGGATAGGGTTAATTATCTGAAGAAGTACGTTCTAAACAACGTCCCTTCCTGCTCAGATCTCCTCACTT